TATTAAAGTAGGATTACTAACTGGTCGATAAAACTCTAAAAGCATATGGCCTCGAAGTAGCTTGTTCGACATAAAGAAAGACTCCCGATCTTCTTTCTTGTCAGGGGAAGACGGGATGCTATATCGTTGAACGATGGCACTGTTTCCTTTAAAAACATTTAAACACTATTTTTAAATAAGTCTATCAATCTCACGACCCGAGTCCTTTGTTCTCTACGTTTTATTATCAATTTCAACCAACGGCCGATTAATTCTCCTAGCTCCCATTCCTCGAAATTCGCTGTCTCGAGAACGAAATGGAATTTTCTCACTCGTTAATTTCTCAATCCTTTTAAAAGACCCCATGGGTATCATCAAGGTGGGTGGAAAACTTGAGCGCTCTTCCCAGCAAACACCCCATTATTCTCGAAAAACAGGCCCGCCTTTCTACTCTGATATAATTATCACGAGGCGACTCAGCGTTCACAGCCTCTCGTGGTGTAAGCTTTTGTTCCCCGAATTTGAATCTAATCTTCATTCGGTGCATTCAATTCCTGTATATGCACAAATATACAATATATTATACAGAAAGAAAGTAATGCGTTCAGAGAGATAAAATAAAATGTAATAAAATTTAATACGAAAGCTAAACTGAAATTGTTGCACTACTTATTACTAATAAGTAAGCAAGAGATGAAACTTTTCTCTTGTTTTGTTATTATTTTCTATTAAACTTCCATGGGCTGAGCCGGGATTCGAACCCAGAACCGTTAGCAAATACGAGTCAGGCACTTTAACCACATGGCCAACCGACTCCTGTATATGTTAATCTGGCATAAAAGGTGGCTTAACGTCCAACAACTCGATGGGTATCGCAGGCAGGGGTCAGCCAGTATTACAACACATTTTCCAAATTACTCTCAAATAAAATTCCATGGGCTTTGTCGGGAGTCTAACACGTAAACCCTAGCGTGGCAAATACGAGTAAGACGCCTTAACCATTCGGCCAGCCATCAACCGATGACGTCAATGTTGCATAAAAGACGGCTTAACGTCCAACAACCCGTTGTGACCGGATAAGGGGTCTGCCACCTTTAAAATACTTTTTTCCAACTTAATTTCAATTAAAAGTCATTTGCTGACGATGATTGTAGGACGGCTGACTGAACCATGCAGACTCCGAAGGCATATAGACTCGGAGCAGCAGAAACAAGCCTGTTCAGGTATTCGCAAGAAGCAGCAGCGGAAAAGTTCAATGGAAGCGGAGAGACCTACTCTAGATGACTAAAAACCTAGGCCTGAAGGATAAAAGGGACTTTAACCAAACTTTGGGATCTGATGAAAAGCCTTAAGCAAAACGAATAGCTCTAGACAGCTATGGAGAATCGAAAAGCTCTAGACAGCTATGGTGAATGATAGAATGTAGTTGACTGCTCACTGGTCAGTGCAGACTCCGAAAGCATATGGACTCGGAGCAACAGGAAAAAGCTTGTTCAGGTATTAACAAAAAGAAGAAGAAGCAGCGGAAAAGTTCTATGGAAGCTGAGATCCCTACTCTGGAAGAATCAAATCCTAGGCCTGAAGGATAAAAGAGACCTTAACCAAACTTCGGGATCTGATAAAAAGCCTTAAGCAAAACGAAAAGCTCTAGACAGCTATGGTGAATGATAGAATGTAGTTGACTGCTCACTGGTCAGTGCTCCGAAAGCATATGCCTGAGCAGGTATTAACAAGAAGAAGAAGAAACAGCTCCTATGCAGGCTGAGATCCATTCTTGACATAGGGACAGTAACAAAGCTTAAACTTAAAGTAAAACTTTAAAATGATAGAGATAGCACAATAGACTAATATTGGTCGCGATGCTCCAGGGCATAAAGAGGACCCTTTTTAACCTTTTACCTTTAGAATATGTTACATACAACTTAACCATAACAGACTTTTTTTTAAATTGCTCTCAGTGAGCCCAATTTATTGTGCGGTATTGTAAGGCGGTTTGACCCCTCGTCAGCGACACCCAATGGGCTGGCCAAATAGTTGAACGTTATAATTATTTTAATTTGTTTACGTAATCTCCAAACACTATTTGCAAATAAAATTTTATATAATTTTTTCAATACCATGTTCAAACAATGAAAGGAGGCTCTTGTGTGATATTGGCAACTGTAAGGTAAGAACCTTGACATATAGAAGAAGTTTGCCAGAGGGAACAAAAGCGTTCATTGATTTTGTTTTCTAAGTCTAAAGTTGTTGCACGTGAAAGTGCTCAGCTCTCTTCATATAAATATAAACTATTCTAATTAAAACGGGAAAAATGTCCGCCCCCTTCTTGGCGGAGGCTACAAACTATTCTATAAAAGGGGAGGCTGAGACATCTCAATTTGTTGGCCGCGCCTTGACTAAGTAGAGCAAACAAACTTTGTAAGATATTCCCTACAAGTTCCATCAAGAGCTATTGTCTCCCCTTAATCCTCCCTTATCATGAAAAGCCCCATTATTCTAATAGAATGTAGCTAAGTTAGCCCTTGTCTGTACTTGAATAAATACGAACAGAGGACATAATCAAAATTTCTTAGATCTACGTAAAAAGTACACATATTCTTCTTGGTTTACAACTAAACTATTCTAGTAGTTGTAATCCGTCATAACATTCTTGTAACTATCAACCAAAACAAGATTAAAATTATCTCAAAAATCATTACCCATTCCCAAAGACAAGCTTGATTCCTGGGTCGGATTTTAAAAAACTATATATATCGTAGTTAGGCTGTTTTAAATGGTTGGAGGAAAAGGTCAATGAAGCAATGGAAAAATGGAAATTTAAAAAAGTTTAATCTTACAGGCACTTGTAGTTGATATTATGGAATTTTGGACTGGGTAGCCGAGTGCTTAGCGTCTCAGACGGTAGTGAGTTCGATTCCTATCGTCGCCCCAGGAAGTTCTGACCATTCTCCCCCCCTCCGAAATTATTCGCCCATGATACGTAATCTGGCTAATAACAAACAGCCACTAGAAAAGAAATTAATAAAGTTTTTGCCGGGAAGGAATGTCATATCGACTAGATGGAAGTTCTGATTGATTCGTTCATGGAGATGTGATAACTTATCTGTTGTTTCAACATGATGGTGATGATGATGGTGAAAGGAGACTAGGAAAGGGGGGTTTATGTTCCCCAAGCACTATTGTACTTTCCTAGTAACTTAGTTAAATCTGTCGTTTCGATCCTTCTTCTAAGGTGTACTAGGTCATTGATTGCTTTGCTACATTTCCTTTCTCTGGACTTTCTTTGTATCCCAGGTTATGTCTCCATTGAGCGGTTGCTTCACATTCAAAGATGATACAGGTGGCTGTTCCTTCCTCCTCATTGCCCACAAATGGGGTCATCACAGAATGTGCCCGTGTTGAGTAGATGTCTTATCACCTCTGAGTTTAGCCCTCTCTAACTGTAGCAGTGGGTTTGCCAGTCTTGGGGAGGGTTGTTTTAGCATAAGTTTACTGTGTCTAGCATCCCTAGAGTTTATTCACCTCTCCTTTTGTCTTTTATGGATCTGTGATGGAAGATTCTTTATTTGTTTTTGTGACCCCAAGAATAGGTCCATGTTCAGGAGATCCTCCCCCTCCTCTGGCCAGTGGGACTGTTTTTCTTTACCCAAAATTCCTTTGAGTCCTGTTACCCAAGAATTCATCAGGTTTTTGTATTTCCCCAGGTTTTAGAGATTTTGGATGCATTCACTGACTTGAAACTTTGTAAGATATTCACTACAAATTCCATCGAGAGTTATTAGTCTTCCCGTAATACTCCCTAATCGTGAAATGCCTCATTATTCTTATGTAGGGTTCTTCTAATGTAGGTAAGTAAGCACTCGTTTATACTCGAATAAATACGAAGAGAGGACTTAACCAATATTTCTTAGATCCATTTGGAAAGAACTCATATGAAATTTCTTGGTTTAAAACTAAACTATTCTAGTAGTTGTAAGCCTTCAAACTATCAGCCAAAACAAGGTTACGATCAACTCAAGAATCATTATTATTCTTTTCCCCAAAGACAAGTTTGATTCTTGGGTGATAAATTCATGAACTTAAACGAGTATTTTTACATTAATATCTTTATTTGGAGATCGTGAGATGCGGTCTGGTGTGACATAGGTTTTAGAAAAACATTTTCTGTTTTCATTCTTTATTCTTTCTAAAGCCTACGTCACACCAGACCGCATCTCATGATCTTCACAAATAATCATTAACTAACGGTCACTAAACACCACACATTAAAATCTTTGAACTCTTTTTATTTTTAAAAAAAATCTGCTACTCAATTTATTTATGTTATATAGTTGTTATAATGACTCTAAAGTATAAAACGTTCGCTTTAGGCAGGTTGTAGGTTACTTAGTGCTACTTATTAGTAAGAGATAGTCTGTAAGCGCAAGGTCAAAGATTTGTAAACTCATTTTTCCTTTATATTTCGAGAAGTGAAATTTCTTTCAAATGAAACTTTCATCCTATAACGCCAAAGATGGCCAATCAGAACTTTTTCTCTTGGATTTTGAACGATTGTACAATCGTTTGATTGATAGCCATCCTCATTGAAAAATTCACACTGTACAAAATTATTCTTAAATTTTGTAAAGTTTGTTTGTACGGTATTGATACTGTGTTTCCAACCGAAAAAAATTTATAATGCTGTGGAGGTGTCAGATTATTAGTAGAAGAATAACAGCGTATGTCAAGTCTTGGAAGAGAGCAACCGTTGAACAAGGTTGCTCTCAGAACTGAACCTTGTGAGATACCCAGGTCAATTTTGTACTGTGGCGAGACATCATTTGATTTTTTCTATACGTCGACCATTCTAACAACCGGGCTCATTCCTGAGTATTGTCCGCTTATGGGAAGGTTGAGTATTAATTATATTTGATTTTCTTTAGATTTATAACTTAAAAATTGACCTACCAACAACAAACATGAACAAATATGTATTTCGTGTTTCATGTCTATTAACTCTTATTTTCTATTTTCTCTCCTAGGGGGAACCGGTCACTCAAAACATGTCGACTGGAGTACTGTTCAGCACCCAGAGCCTTGTACTTCAAGGAGTGACGAGGCAGAACGGAGGACGTTACACGTGCGTAGCGTCGAACACGCGCGGCCAAACGTCCAGCCAACCGGTCAACCTGAGGATACAGTGTAAGTACTACAAACTTGTTCAAAACATTTATTGAAACGAAACTCGAACTTAAACCTTTTCTCAACCAATTCAGAAATCTATAGAGAGAAAACTGTCGGCCGGAAAATAACTAATTACTATTCGGAGTAGAGCTAATAAATCATTTGATAAAAATATTTCCTCTCTCCCAGGGGGAATCTGAGCTGAGCTTCAATTGATGGATTTACAACACAAAGAATAGTAATCAATCATTAAACGTCAGTCGGAGAGGACCACTAAGCTAGCCAACATCGTAACTGACGATTAAATGAAGATAACAAACTTACTCTACGAGAATTATTATTCTATTATTATGGGATTTGCCTTTCGAGTTATTTCGGTTTTGTTCATCAATAGGTTTGCATAAACCAGGAAAAGTAACAACAGCAATTAATTATAAGGGATAGGGATAAAAGAGGCGGCCGCAAGGCCTTTCTGCACCTCGGCCTGAGAAGTTCTATTGTGCTCATCTGTTTTTTATAGCTCACTGGTCAGCTTCAGATGGTTAATCTACTTCCATAGCCTTGCCAGCGGCTCCTAAGTATAGAATCTTGCTTGACATTTTTCTTCTCGTGTTATAAGAACTTGCACCTACAGAGACCTTCACAGAAACATAAAATGTGTTCTGCGGTTCCTCCTCTTTCTAGCAGTATCTGCACAGTGTTTGTCTGTACTTCTTCCGGTGCATGTGCTTTCTTAAGTGGCATTGCCCTGTCAGGATGGTTAGGATGGTCACACGAGGGCCAGTGCACTAGATCCTGTCTGCACAGACGGGGGAGGATGTATGGCCGTCTGTACCACGGGGTAACTTAAATGTTTCAAAATCAGCCCAAAGTGACAATGGGAAAGGTTTCGTGGTGACGCCCCTGGCGGGAACTTAGACAGAGGTTGTGTTCTATCTGTGACCTTCGTGAAGCTTGCGTATGGCCAGCGTAAAACCCCCCCGGCCTCACGGGAGACGTTGCGACCGGACGGCATGGTGTAAGCGTTGAGGACGCGATGATCATGCTATAGTCCCTCGAATGCATAAGTAAGCGGATGGAAGCGGGTAGTGAAGCGGTGTCTCTGACTCGAGTATGCTTTGCATTGTTGCGCGTATGACCGGCGTGGTACCCTTGGGGAAGCGAAGGATCGGACCACCTAGGCTGAGCCTATGGCGTCCCTCGAATGCGCGTGGCAGGTGTAGGCTGAGCTCGATAAGAGACTTTGCCGTAGGCGGTGCTCATCTAGGGTGTGGTTAGCAATTCCACTTTAAACGAAACCGCTGCCGGGGCGTTCCCGGAGGTTTCTATGCTGGGGAAGCCCCTATACTCAGGAAGATAGAGTGGCCTTCTCTATCTAGGGAGTACGAGGAGGGGGGGACAGGGTGATGTGTTTCGGCCTGTTAGCCCTTCGCGTGCGGCATACGACCCGATGTACAATGCGGGCCCGGCCATTCGGAGTGGACAAGCGGAGAGCGTGGCTACTGACCCTTAGGGGCCGGGACACCACTACACCAATGCTGCGGCGGTAACTCCATTCCGTCGTATGCGGAGGTTCGTCAGCTCTCATCTTGAGAATCAAAACGTCCGATAAAGCCAGAAGGCCAGGTGCGGACGCTAAAGATCCTCTTGTCTTGTTGACTATGAGTACTCGGGAACACAATGCCCTGTCAGGAGTTCAACCAGAATCCTGGTTCAGTTGCGGTTGCCTTCCAGTAATTCCTTTGTAAGTTTTGTGGATCGCTCTTATATGAATCTCTTCGCGTGCCTCATGCCTGTGGTATGTTCCACCAGGTTTTGGACTCATTAAGGATCCATTTTAAAATGTATCCTCTCTTGTGGTATAATGCTAAGTCACAGTAGAGTTCAGGACGTAGCAGATAGTCCATGTTGGCCCCCTCTTTGGCAACCTTTTTGTTGCCTCTATGCCAGGCTCAGGTCACTAGTGTCACTGATTTCCGTCAGGGTCTCCATGCAGTTCCAAACACTCTTTGCCTTCACCTCGCATAAGGCTTGGGCATTTAGTGCCGCCTGACTGTCAGAGAAGATTGCTATCTTCCGGGAATGTATTCCTAGCCTTTTTATTTCCCTCGAGCAGTGTTCAATCGTTATAATTTCAGACTGGAAAACTGTTGGGTTTACCGTCAGTTCGGTCTTTGGATTCATCTCGAAGACTCCAGCTCCCGTGCCCTTGTCGGTTTACACCTCACTTTGTTTCTATTATTATTTATTAATAATATAAATAATAATATGTGGCGTTGATACTGTTTCCAATTTTAAAATCTTGTGGAGGTATCAGATTATAACTAATAAGAATTACTTAAGTCAAGTCTTGGAAGAGAGAACCCGTTGAAGAAGGTTGGCCCCAGCGCTGAACCTTGAAGGACTCCCAGCGTCAATTTTGTACCGTGCCGAGACATCATTTGATTTGTTCTATATGTGGACTCTTCTAACAGCAGTTCAGGAAACAATCTCATTCCTGAATATTGTTCGCTTATGGGACGTTTGAGTGTTAATTATCTTCGATTTTCTACTCATTTCTTCTTCCCCTTTGTAGCCTTTTAAAACATTTATAGGGTTTTGCATTTTATACCTTAAAACCGACGTACCAATGAGTTGTTTTCTTACTCCTTGTGAAATATATATATATTTTTTTTTAAATAAACAGCTTATCGAACCTAGCCAACAAAGCGAGTAAAGATCAATCAAAATGGGCGTCTTGAAATACAGCAATCTAAAGAAGATTTGTTTTAAATATTCTAGAATTTAAAGAGTAACGAAGAGAAACATTTGAAGAAACACTTTAAGCGAAGTCTGCGCTAGGGGAATCTCAATGTATGCAATAAATCTCGAGTTGCATTGTTGTACCTGGGAAAAGGCCAAGGAGGTTGGAACATGTCCAAAGAGTTGGGATTAGGCAGTAACAAATATATAGACAGCTTAAAAATCCTTTAAGGTTGTAAATTAAACGTTTCCGCCAACGTCGATCCTCCTTTGTTTTGTTATTCCTTTAAATGAGAGAAAAAATTTCCATTTAAGATACATCTATTTGCATACTTCTTAGGGAACTATGCTTATTCTTCTAATAATAAAAAAACTGAAGACTCACTTTTTATACAAATAAACAGGACGTGTAGAAATAAAAGGAGATGAACCGAGTGTCGGTTGTTATTTTTGTCTGTGTTCTATTAGTAAAATAGGAAAACGTGAAAACATTGTATTCCCGGGAAAAGGGAGGCAAAAGGACACAAGTCAACGAAAAGGGCTGTAACTAAATTAGAAAATTTCCGAGATGGTCTGCGTCTAGGAAAGGTTTTTCTAAGTCTGTCTCAGGAAAACTGATTCGATAGCTAGAAGGAGGATTCTGATCTGCTCAGCTACCCTATAAATGGACACAATAGTTATGTGTCAACTAGCTGAAAGTCTACATCTCCCGAGGCGACCTTTTCTCTTTCTCAGATGAAATTTTACACAATGCACATGTAATTCAATTAATAAAGTTTTTATTTGTATTTTTTCAGATGCGCCAGTCTGCAGCGTCAGCGAGCCATTGATTGTCGGTGCTTCTTTAGAAGAAGCAGTGAGAGTGCGTTGCATGGTTTCAGCAGATCCGGCTGATCTGACCTTCCTCTGGCAGTTCAACAACAGTGGTGAAAGTTTCCCAGTCGCCCCTGCTAGGTATATAAAGTAATACTAAAATCATTATATAATAGTAAATAGATGAAATACTGATAACTAGATGATATTTGATTAAGACAGACTGTGTTACCGTGTTACTCAGGCATGGGTGTACAAAATATTCCAAGAAATAGAAAAGAACCCCCTGTACCAGATATATTTAGAAACCAATAGATTTCTCATTTACACTTATCCCTTGAAATTACACATCTAATGGTTTTACAACGTATATTAAACGAAAAATCTTCTAATCCGGAAGCATTAGGTAAAGTCCCCTGTCAGACATTTGGGAAAAACAACACTTGTTTGGGTACCAGGGCAGAAGGTCAATGACGAGGACAATAAATTGGTTAAAGAAAGTTCGATCAGGACGCTCATCAACACTGGACACTTTTGTGTCGTACCAAATTGCCAAAAACTTCCAACAGACAGTAGGCAAAGAATCCTTGGTTCAATAGAACTGAATTTGAGGAGGCATGTGAAAAAGTTCATCGAAGGATCCTGTGAGCACTGCAGATTCAAAGACGTATAGACAGATATTGACAGGTAGAAGAAGAAACGACGGAACATTATGCAGAAGATTCCTACACCTTTGAGAGGAGAAACCAAAGCCAAAGGAGTTTGTAACAAAACTTTGGGATCTGGTAAAAATCCCTAACCTTAATGATGAGCTCTAGACAATGATGGAGATTGCACAATAGACGAAAATTATTCGCAGTATGCAAGATCATAAAGGTATCAACCTAGTGTTAGGATTAGAATGATAGTAGGACTGCTGATTGGACAGTGCAGATTCCAGAGGCATATGGACTCAGAGCAGAAGACATAAGCTTGCACAAAAACAACAAATTTATTTATTTAGGTTTTGTAATTTTAAATATCTTCTTATCAGGCAACTAATACTAATGTACTTTAGTAAAATATATCAAATAAATAATGAAATTCAAAAGACACTCAGAATGAAAAATACATAAAAAAATTATGAGACATCGTGATAAAATGATGTCTGTAAAATTACATAAAAAATCAATTGACACTGAAATTTCATTTGTTTTCTGTGTTTCCAGGTATGCCACAGCAAATGAAACTATGAGCGAGCTCGTCTATACGCCGACATCAGAGCGAGATTACGGCACGTTGGCATGCTGGGCTACAAATAGCATTGGGAGACAAGCTGATCCATGCACTTTTCAAGTAGTGCCAGCAAGTAAGTAAAAATATAATTTCACCCTTATCAAATGTTAATTAAGTACTTAAAAGTTCCCTTGAATTTTTTAGCAAATTAACAAATTTGTAATATTAAATATAATGGTCATTTATGAGCATTTTGACTGTCACTGTGCAGACTGTGATGACTAGAAAGGATACAGTTCATCACCTGGCAGATCTTACAATTAATACATTAATACACGAAGACATTAAAATGTTAAAAAAATATTAACACTAGATTTAAATGGTTTTTGTAAAATGGCCATTGCAAATTTAATGAAAAAATTGCTGTCTTTCTCCTTCTGCTGGTTTGCTGGTGCTGCTCGTATGACCCCCATGTCTGGTTTGATCAAATTGAGCCTTTAGCTATAATGACCAAAAGTGATTGATGAGCTTGAAAAATAATAACGTAATAGTTTCTACTATTATTACTTGAGAGTATGATCAAAGATGAATGAACTTTCAACTAAACATTCAATTTGCAAACAATAAAGCAATAAACATGAAAACACACATCCTGTCATTTAAAAAAAATGAAAGATTAAGAAACTACCATAAAATCAACCAATCTTAAATTGGTTTGAAAAGTTGGTTCTTTCTGGTCATTTTAGTCGGGTTATTCTTGCTGAGTTTTATCTATCAGAAGCAATTTTCGATCTGTACAAAAAAAACATATTTTCCTAAAAATCACCCAGGTCTGACACATCATTTCTTGCGTAATTGCTTGTTTTTTCTGTTTTCTAGCTAAACCAGGACCTCTACACAATTGTACACTAAGATCTACAGTCAATACCACTGGTGACTGGCTCGAGGTTGAATGCATTGCTGGTTTTGACGGAGGACTTAAACAAACTTTTCATCTGGAAGCCCTCGACTCAGTTACATCCAAGTACTGCTTGAACGTCAGCAATAACGAAGGGCCCTTTTTTAGAGTTGAACTTGCTGCCCTTGCAAACGGCCATCCTGGAACTATTCAGTTAGTTATATACGCTGTGAATCAAAAAGGACGCAGCGAACTTGTAGTACTTGAAGACATAGCAATCAGGGATGCAGAGAAAAGGACTGGTAAATAAATATTAAAAATTAAAACTACCCTTTATTGTTTGACTAAACAATAAAATCAGTAAGTTAGATACTTTATTCTAAAGATCTCAAATATACATGTAAGTATGTAAAAACTCGAGTGATTTATGTGTAAGTTATTTTCATACAAATTGATCGTTATAATACAAGAATTTAATATATAAGACAAAAGTAATAAATACATAACATTTTAGTCTTCTTTTTCCCTGAACACTGAACTACAGTTTTAATCTTAGTGATTGTATAATTATAACATATAAAGATAAATAAGTTTTATTGCCTAATATTTCTTTCTTTTTTTTATAAAAACATGTCTTTCAGTTGGTGTATCTTTACATTCTAATATAGATATTATTCTACTGCTGTTTACTACTTTAAAAACACAATTTTAAAATACAATAGTTTTCTTGCTGTAAATGCACCAACTAAATTGAAATTGCTCAAAATTATAATTTTTTGATTGCTCATCATATATATATATAAAGGATCCAAAAACAAAATTTATTATCTTTTCTTGCATTACACTCATATTTAATCCTACAACACAGTTATTATTAGTATGTTTACACTCATTGTTTCACTAATTGTTATATATTATTAGAATGGGTTGCAGGGAGTCATTCACTCGGCGCTGGATCTTTAGCGGCGCTTTTGGTCGGCGGATTCCTCAGTGTCGCTGCTATCCTCCTATTAGTCACCATTTATGCACTCCGTAGACGTACATATAGAATGCAGCATACTTCACCCACACCAACGAAACAAATTGAAATCACTCAAGGGGATGATCAGAGATATGTGGTCTCATATCAATTGAAACCAGAAACAAAGCAGCCTGACATACTCCATAGAGGTATGGAATTGTCTTTCTATCTTACCATTGACAGAAAGAGATAAGAAAAGCTGGAGAGAGAGAGAGGGGGGTAGAGAAAGAGAAGAGTTGGAGAGAGAGGGGGAATTAGTGGTGAGTGAGTGAAAGAGAGAGGGGTGTGAGAGAGGGGGAGAGAATGAGTGGTGAGTGAGTGAGTGAAAGAGAGTGGGGGAGAGCGAGAGAGAGAGTGTGTGTGAGTGAGTGAGTGAGCAAGCGAGCAAGAGAGAGAGGGGGAGAATGAGTGGTGAGTGAGTGAGTGAAAGAGAGTGGGGGAGAGCGAGAGAGAGAGTGTGTGTGAGTGAGTGAGTGAGCAAGCGAGCAAGAGAGAGAGGGGGAGAATGAGTGGTGAGTGAGTGAGAGAGAGTGGGGGGATAGAGGGAGAGAGAAGAGTTGGTGTGAGAGAGAAAGATAGAGAAGTTGGAGGGACAGAGAGAAAGAGAAGAATTGGAGAGAGAGGGGGGATTAGTGGTGAGTGAGTGAAAGAGAGAGGGGTGTGAGAGAGGGGGAGAGAATGAGTGGTGAGTGAGTGAAAGAGAGTGGGGGAGAGCGAGAGAGAGAGAGAGTGTGTGTGAGTGAGTGAGTGAGTGAGAGAGAGTGGGGCATAGAGGGAGAGAGAAGAGTTGGTGTGAGAGAGAAAGATAGAGAAGTTGGAGGGAGAGAGAGAAAGAGAAGAGTTGGAAAGAGAGGGGGATTAGTGGTGAGTGAGTGAAAGAGAGAGGGGGTGTGAGAGAGGGGGGAGAGAATGAATGGTGAGTGAGTGAAAGAGAGTGGGGGAGAGAGAGAGAGAGAGTGAGTGAGTGAGCAAGCGAGCAAGAGAGAGAGGGGGAGAATGAGTGACGAGTGAGTGAGAGAGAGTGGGGGGATAGAGGGAGAGAGAGAGAGTGTGAGTGAGCAAGCAAGCAAGAGAGAGAGGGGGCGAATGAGTGATGAGTGAGTGAGAGAGAGTGGGGGGAGAGAGGGAGAGAGAAGAGTTGGTGTGAGAGGGAAAGATAGAGAAGCTGGAGAGAGAGAGAGTGAGAAAACGTGAGACAGAAGAGTTGGAGAGAGACAATTGTAACTTTTTTATAACCTAGAAAGTTGTTTGAATTTGATTGCATTGTTGTTTAGTTACAGATGAACCTTTAGAGCGAGACATTCCTCCAGTCACATACAGTGGGCCCGGTGTCACAGCAACATTTGTAAGTAACATTGCCTTCCACGTTTTGTATTAAAAAAAAAATCTGGGATAAGACCGATTTGAAAGAAATGAAATATACTCAGTACCTTCCATATGAATCTGATATTGAATGAACTAAGTGTTTTTCTTTTCTATTTAATAAAAAATTATAATTAAAGGCTGATATCAATAAGAGGCGGGCTTGACATGCAACTACCCCCATTGAGTGTCATGGATGAAAGGTCAAACCATTTTACAATACCTTTTCAAATTATGATAAATTAAAAAGTCAGAATTCATCAAGCCCAATAAAAATATGAGTTGGAACCCTATCACAATCTTACTTACTTATCAAAGAATGCTTGCATAAAATTCCAAAGCTCTGGAGTCGGCTGAATCTTCCTTCAAATAAATCATAAGCATACAAAATTTGTATGGCATGGACAATAATCAAGATAATGATATAACTAATAATCCAAAGCTCTGCAGTTGTTGTTGTTGCATTGCTGGCCCAGCCTCGATAGTGGAACACTGAACCGGAGCTGCAGTTAAGATTATGAAAGCCAGAGATTTTGATCATTATAGTTGCTGGTCAAGTGGGTCAGACCTTCGCATTTCCTTTTTTTTTATATTTAAGGTTTGCCTTATTTATTTGCAGTCAAATAAATATAATATAAAAGCTGTATTAACCTGAGACCTTACATATCTGATAGCAGGATCACTTTACGAAGGATAATCTCCGAATCCCCCGACAGGAGTGTTTTTATAATTGTAGCTTGTGCTCGATAGTTTGTCAGGGAGTGATGGTTTAGCATACTGATCCTGGTATGAAGGTACTGCGTACTCCCCGGCCTGTAACCATCATTGTCACCATATCCACAATAGCCATCAGCATAAGATTCTCATTAGGGCCGCCTGGCTGAGACCTATATAAAGGTTGTCAAGGATGGTTGTCAGAAGAGTTGGATTTTGACTGATCGGCAGTCAAATTTACTTGATCAATTATATTGATATAAAAACTATAATTCCTCTATTATTGATTTTTTTAAATATTAACAATGGTGTAGAGTGAATTATTCAGCCAGAAAAGAACTAGATGTTTTGTCATTTTTTTATTATTTAAACACCATGTTTCAGAGCGTTTTGCTCCATTTTCAAAAAACAAAAAATAAAATTTAAAAATTAAAAACAAAATGGACTTTAACAACTTCCTCCTGTAAGTCCTGAATCTACTACCACTGCATATCTTTATCCAGGGAGAGGCCAGAGCCGCAATTCATAGGCTAATGCTCCAATACCTACTCATACAACAAAAAGCAACTAAAGTTTGGGGGGGACTTCAGGCGGACAGCGTTCTAGGTTTGCCTGTTGATGCACCCCTAAATTCAAATTTGACACCAAACAAAATTTAATTAAAATACCCGGTTGAACAGACTGGCAGAAAGGGAACCTAGTTAAGGCCGGCCATACCTAGTAAACAGATGGCTCCAAAAATGGGTATGGGTTAGAGGCTGGTATTTATGGAAATATACCAAGGATTAGAATTGGTATAAGCCTTTGGCAATATGCAAGGACTGTGGCAAGGAGATTAAAAGGCTAGGTATCTTTAACAGAAGAGCCGTCTACTCAGATGGCCAGGCAGCACAATTATCGCATCAGTGGTAAAGTCCAGAATTGTTTGGGATTGCATTAGGGCTCTGTCAAACATTGGGGAAAAACTACAAAATTACCCAAATTACCCTTGCCTGGGTACGAGGGAAGTGAAGAAGCCAACAAATTGTCCAAGAAAAGTTTGTTCAGGGCACCTATTCAGCTCTGAACCCTTTTGTGGCATACCAAATTGCCAAAAATCAGACAATGGATTAAAAATTTGGCCTTCGTTCAATGAAAATGTAGCCCAGGACAGGGCTTAAGAAAAAGTTCATCAAAGGACCATCACAGAAACTAATGACAGAACTACTAAATCTAGGACTTGTTAGGACTAGAATAATAGTTGGACTGCTAACTAGACACTGCAGACTCCTGAGGCATATGTACAGACTCGTGGTGGGAGAAATAAGCCGGTGCAGTTATTGCCAATAAGAAGAAGAAACAGCGGAACACTTCCTCTGTTGGTGGGAAGACATGAAGGTTACACATGGGAGCCCTTGAAAAAGGAAGAGCTTTAGATTTAAAAAAATCATAGATTCAGAATAGCAGAAACAAGCTGTACATATATTGCCAGGAATAAGAAGAGACAGCAGAACATGTCCTTTGTTGGTGTGAAGTCTTATGTTGACTGAGATTACAACTTCTGGGCTTAAAGAGGAGAACTAGACAACAATGGAAATGCACACTAGTCCAATATGATCGCACAGGTCATAAAGAGGCCAACTACTTCCTCTAATCCTTTTCTAACTCCTTCTCTAATCTAATATAATCCTCCAACATAAACAATCAGAAAGACACAGTTCTTTTCCACTTTTTTTAAATTTTATTTTGACAAGTTTTGTCAACATCTTGTCCCAAACACTTTGAAAAAGGAACAAAACATTCCGAAACAGTGTGCAACGAATAAAAACTGATAAAACAGTTCTTTTTCTTGGCTTCTTAATCCCACTGTACACCTTTTGTTAATATTTAAAAATACAGTCATCCACTAAAGAGATTTATACTTAAAGAAAAAACGTAATATTGTACATTTAAAACGCAATTTGTAATATCAAAAATTGAAGTTTTTTTTTTTGTTTTTCAGATGTCTCCTTGCAGCAGCCCTGCTGAATGTTCTATTCCTATAAGCCCTTCACTTCAGACAGCACCTACTCACAACGGCGTTCTCAATAGCGCACAACACATACTTTCCAATTCGATACCTGGTCCAGAAAGTTGTGTGTGAATTAACATTTACACTGTGTGTAATTATAAAAAAAATTTAACGAAAAAATATATATTTCCCTTGTGTTTCCATGTAAACCAAAATGTATGAGATACTGTATATTTATGTTCATAGAGGTAAGATGGTAAGTTACAATAATATTGTGCTATTGTAAGAAATATGTCAAACAGTGCAGCATAAACGTGCACTGTGATATATTGTATTCACAAATTGTAAATACATTAAATTAATAAATTATTAATTTGTAATTAATTCAAATTAGATAAGAGTTGTAGTGCCAATGAAAATAATTTTATTCTAGCAACAATAATAAAATTTTGTTTTGATTAATTAATTTTTAACAATTGTTACAAGTCATCGTAAAGAAATGTATCGTTTTAAAAACAGTCTCTTCATATTTTATGAAATATTTCAGATTTTATGAAATATTTCTCTTATAGATTTCATACTACTAGTCTGGTCAGGTGTTATTATGATAATGGCTCGTTAAATAAAGGGTGTTGTATGCAATCATTTTTAAACAACAGTATTACTTTCTTTCTCCTATGCAGGCAATTTAGAAATTAATTAGTGTTAATTATAAAATAGGAAAACATGAGCGCTTTTTATTTCTGACAGAGGGCGATGACAAAACTCATAAGCCTTTGTGATTCAATCCAATTGTCACTATCGTTTCCTTCAAGGTCTGAGCGCATGAATTTATTTTCCAACAAGCCTACTATCATTTTAAGTGATCAGTTCATGTAAAAACTTTCAATCCTTAGATTAGAGAACCTGTGTTAATTTTTTTTTTTTTTTAATAAACAGAACAATTTTGCACAGGACAGTCTTCCATATAAGACATCATTAATCAGAAAAATGAGTCTTGGTTTTTTTATTTAATTCAAAATAAAAATAGAAAAAAAAAACTTTGTCCGTGTAAAACTCCTCAAAGTTCAATTTATTCAATTTTATTGCTTTTTACTACTTACAATTTTTGAAGAATATATTTTACATTTGAATCAGCTGGTTGATCAACTCTACAAAAATAAAAATAAAACGGTTAAAAATATAAAAGCCTTTTATAAAATTTTATTTTATTTTTTAACAGATAAATTTAGTGCTTTCATATGTGTATTATTTGTAGAATAATTAAAATTATAACTGATGCTGGGGGTTCTGAGTGAACTCATGCTGAACCGGCATTGGGTCCATGTTCACTCGTGGATTTGATGAACTACTCAAACACGAGTTCCTTCCTCACTGAAGATGAATGCCAAAACACGTTTGAGTTGTTCAACAAATTGAAGACCCAACAAGTTACCCAGTGCTGGTTCAGAAATTAAAATTATGTTTGTAATTCTTATAACTAAAAAGCATATTTTACATTAATTTTTTATGACAAATGAAAAATACAAACTATGAGTTGAATATCATTAAGTAAAACAGATTAAAAGGAAGCTAGTCTAGTACAAACGCATCCTAAAATGTACAGGTTCTGAAGGCTAAAATTTATTTCTTAGAAGTAAATTTATGACTCAACAATATGAAATTGGGTTTTTAAGAAAAAGACAAAAAAAAAGATAAGTGTATTTCACACTTGTTTTTTTTCCTACTCTATTGCATGTATCCATTAGTTTGACATTTATTAAAAAATATATGTGTATATTCTCAACATATTTTAAAGAAATAACATATCTGTCATTTGTCACTCATACGGCACTGACCAAACTAGAAAAAATTGTCTGTGTAAAAAAATTATATATTGCAAAATAAAGTGAAAGGTTCCCAATGTCTTGAACAATTTATTATCTGTCGCAAAAACGTATTTAACACCCTTTTAAATTCCGTTACAAAGGAAACAAACTCCTCTCTCCTATTTCTGATGACTTCGACGGCAAGAAATGAAATATAACAACACATTTATCCATTAATCATTTTTCATGATCAACATAAGAATTCAAGAATATTTATACTAAAACAACATCCAAATCATGAGAATAAATGATTGCAAAATAGGGGTGTAGGTATATTTACATACACATAACAACTACACTTAAGTGATGAATTTGTGGTCTGCCCAATTTTGATTTGACCTAAAATATTTACGATGTTCGGATTTAATAGTACATGGCCTATTATTATTATTGTGACTTTTTTTTATTTAGAAAGTCAAACTTTCTTTGTTGTTGAATTATGAAATTGTATTAACCTAGGTGTAATAAATTTGAATTAACACAATTCGAAAATGAGGTGGTATTTTGTGTTAGACTAGACAAAACTGTTATGGTGTTAGCTGAATTAAATAGTTTGTAATTTCAAATAGTGCAAACTGATATATTTCAACAACAAAAATCCTTTGTTTTCCATTTCAGCCAATGGTTATAACTTTTTTTCAGATTTAGATAAATATTTTTATATACAAATTAAGTTTATTTTTTAATGTTTTAGATTATTTCTATATATGTTTATTGATTTTTGATGAACTGTCATGAAAAACTTGGTATAATTCTTTGACAAGTACCTTTTTTCTTAAACCAGTTTATTGTGAAGTTCTTTTTGTTTGTTTTTTCATGAACCATCATGAAAAATTTTGGCAAATTATTTTTTTCTTGTATCAGTTTATTGTGAAGTTCCTTTTTGTCTTCTTTTTTTATGAACCGTTGTGAAAAACTATGACAAGTTCCGTTTTTTCTTGAACCAGTTTATTGTGAAGTTCTTTTGTTATTGTTTTTTGATGAACCATCATAAAAACTTTGACGTTTCTTTTTTCTTGAGTCAGTTCATTATGAAATTCTTTTTTTTTTTATATTTTTGATGAACCATCATGAAAAACTTTGAGAAATTCTTTTTTTTTTTCTTGTATCAGTTTATTGTTAAGTTCCTTATTTATTGTTTTTTTTTTTTTTTTTTTTTCTTGTATCTGTTTATTGTTAAGTTCCTTATTTATTGTTTTCTGTTTCAACTAGATAACCGATATTAAAAGTGCAGCTGTTATAACACCCTTTTAATATAAATACTGCAAAATGAATTGACTGGAACCTAGATTTGTGACATTTTTTGTGCAGATTTAAGATAATAAATACTGGTACACGTTTATATTTGAATTGTGTTTTAAGATTGATTAATGTCTTTCCAAGGAAAAATTGTCTAAAAATAAATATTGTAAAACTTAAAAAATACACAATTCATTTCAGAAATATTTTGAGTGGATGTCTTACATGTGCATTTTTATAATTTAATTAATAGATTTCTTTTATAGAAAAAACAAAATGACTTCCATTTACACCAACTTTCTGTACCCCAATAAATATTCCATTTTAAGTATGTTGATATTAGCTAATAGATTGTTACTGTAAATATTAACCTGGATGTTGTATTGAATTAGAACAATTTTAATTTAGTGTTGCTAGCTTAATTAAGGCTCTTTTACAATAAAAAATAAATTAATTTAAAAAAATAAACACTGCAATTTATGTGACCACCAGATTTTAGTTGCTCTATATAATATATATATATACATGAATTAAAACACAAATTAATACTTATTAACCGACATTGTAAATTTTATATATGTAGTTTATGGAGCAAGAAACAAAATTCTACGGATACCCGACTTCGACTTGTAGTGAAGATAAACAAGAACAGATTTAATAATGAAAGAAGAGCAAGGGATCAATTTTTTTTAAAACATTGGTATTGCTTTACTGGAAAAACTGTTTATATTTATTATCAATTTTTAAAGTTAAAACATTGTTAATGTAATAATAAAATACAATTTAAGTGTTTACATTTATCTAAATCCTTTGATAATGAAAAGTATATCATTTGTGTGAGTGCGTGTGCATATGAAGCTATCGTATATCAAATCTTAAGAAAATAAGAAATGTCTTTTGAATAGAATTAAATTATCCATTAGCAGCTAAACGAGCTGACCATATTGTTATGACTTCGTTTAAAAAAGCAAAAGCTTGACGGACACACAAGAGCTCTTAACTTTGGGATCTGGTAAAAAGCTTTAAGCTTAACAAAGAGCTGTAGGTCGTAAAGAGGCCGACTTGTTAGGACTAGAATGATAGTAGGACTGCTGACTGGACAATGCAGACTCTAGAGGCATATGGACTCATAGCAGAAGAAACAAGCCTGAGCAGATATTGTCAGGTAGAAGAGGAAATAGCAGAACAAGTCTAGGGAGGGTGAGATTCCTATTCCTGGGAGAGGAAAAGCCCAGAAATGAAGGCAACTGGAGGCTTGGACAAAACTTTGAGATCTGGTAAAAATCCTAAAGCTTACCGAAGAGCTCTATACAATGATGAAGTTTGCACAATTCATGGTGTGCAAGGTTGTAAAAAGGCTGACTTGTTAGGACTAGAATGATAGTAGGACTGCTACTGGACAACACAGACTCCAGAGGCATGTGGACTCGGAGCAGAAGAAACAAGCCTGAGCAGATATTGTCAGGAAGAAGAGGAAATAGCAAAACATGTCTAGGGAGTGTGAGATTCCTATTCCTGGGAGAGGAAATGCCCAGAACTGAAGGCCACTGGAGGCTTGGACAAAACTTCGGGATCTGGTAAAAATCTTTAAGCTTACCAATACAGACTCCAGAGGCATATGGACTCGGAGCAGAAGAAACAAGCTTATACGTTGACTACACATGGAAAACTGCCAAAGAGGGGCAGCAGCAAGAGCTGTTTCGCAGTCTACGTTCCTTCTCACTGCCACGGAAGTGAGGTAAATATAACCAGGCATTAGGATTATAATGTTAGTACTGCTGACTGGACACTGCAGACTCTGGAAGTTTATAGTCTCAGTGCATTGATATTTTTATCATCAATTTTGTGTTATGGGTTGGGTTAGGGTAGGTTATAATTAAAATAATACAGTCAATTATGACTACTATACACGTATATGGATTAGTTTATAATGTAAAACGTAATAATTTCAAGGGTGCCTAACATACTATGCCATTTGAAAGCTTTTGTATCACACATTCTATGCTTTAGCATATCTAGTTCATCAAAAAATTATTAGGCCCGGTCTGACTTTCTTCTATGTTAAGTTATACATTCCAAAGCAATTTCTCCTGTGGGCAAGAGTAGCGCGCACCACAATTTATCAGTGCATTTGTGTCTCCTCTGCTTCCTTGCAGAATCTGCACCATGTTGGATTGACCAATCTTCCTCAAAGGCTCATTCAGACCACACATGTTAAGAATCTGAAGTTTATCCTGCTTCCTTTGATGCATTATGTTGTTTCTTTTCTTTTGAAACTCACTAG